GCGAGGTGATGAATCAACAACTGTTGAAACTAGTGAAGATCCATACGAAGGAGAATCCAGCAGACATGTTAACAAAGGTGGTCACTCAAGAAAAGTTAGAGCTGTGCAGAGACATAGTTGGAATAACTTTCAAATAGTAGTTGCGTTGGAATGTAGCTGAAGGGGGAGAATTGATAAGTTCAGCTGCTGCCAACTACCAATTCTAGAAGCCCACTNGAAGTTATGGCTATCTCAAGAAAATTACATTGAACGGGTGATCAAACGGTTCAATATGAGTAATTCCAAACCGGTAGGTGCCCCTTTGGCAAATCACTTCAAGTTTAGCAAGAGTTTGTGCCCCTCATCCAAGAAAGAGATTGAGGAGATGTCTACAATTCCATATTCTTCAGCAGTTGGAAGTCTGATGTATGCCATGGTTTGCACGAGGCCAGATATCGCACATGCGGTAGGTGTGGTAAGTCGTTTTCTTTCTAACCCTGGAAAGAAACATTGGGAGGCAGTTAAGTGGATTTTCAGGTATCTTAAAGGTACTTCAAAATCAAGTCTGTGCTTTGGGGGAGCTGATCCAGTCTTGGAAGGCTATACAGATTCAGATATGGCCGGAGATCCTGATGGAAGAAAATCAACCTCAGGATATGTTTATACTTTTGCAGGGGGAGCTGTGTCATGGCAGTCAAGATTGCAGAAGTGTGTTGCACTATCCACAACTGAAGCAGAGTATATTGCTGTAGCGGAAGCTGGAAAAGAAATGTTGTGGCTAAAGCGGTTTCTCCAAGAACTAGGGATAAATCAAACAGAGTATAAGATACATTGTGATAGTCAAAGTGCAATTGATTTAAGCAAAAACTCAATGTATCATTCTCGGACAAAGCACATCGACATTCGCTATCACTGGATACGCGAGGTGATGAATCAACAACTGTTGAAACTAGTGAAGATCCATACGAAGGAGAATCCAGCAGACATGTTAACAAAGGTGGTCACTCAAGAAAAGTTAGAGCTGTGCAGAGACATAGTTGGAATAACTTTCAAATAGTAGCTGCGTTGGAATGCAGCTGAAGGGGGAGAATTGATAAGTTCAGCTGCTGCCAACTACCAATTCTAGAAGCCCACCATTGTTGAAGCCACCAACCCATTCTAGAAGCCACCATTGTTGAAGCCTCCATTGTTGAATGAAGAATTCAACCACCAACCACCTTCTTTAAGGCTATAAATAGAGCTTTATGTTTTACACAGAAACATCAATCCAGAGAGATTGAAATACAATCCAGGAAGAGATTGTGAGAACAAAAAGAGAGTTTGGTGAGGTTTTTTTGTAGAGAGAAATTCTTGATGTAAATTCTCTGTAATTCTATTCTTGTGAAATAGAGTTGTTTTTCCTCCCAAATAATCTTCATATTGATTCGAGAAACACAACACACACTCCCTCTCACATATTTTGATCATATGTGGTTAGCTTTCAACCGTATGCGGCGAATTTTATTCTACAAGCACCCCATTTCCAGATCCGATTTTGTCCAAACTATTATTCCTAGTCTTAAAGATTCACTCTCCCTCGCTCTCAAACACTATATACCCTTAGCTGGCAACGTTGCTTGTCCACTAAGTTCTAGCGGTTATTCTGAGCTGCGTTATGTAACAGGGGATTCCGTATCTGTTACCTTTTCTGAGACTGATATGGATTTTAATTATCTCATTAGTAACCATCTCCGAAATGCTAAGGCTTTTTATCACTTTGTTCCTCAGTTGGCAGAACCTAAGCATGCATCAGGGGTCCAATTAGCCCCGGTCTTAGCTATTCAAGTGACACTTTTTCCGAATCTTGGCATATCCATTGGTTTCACTAACCATCACGTCGCTGGTGATGGAGCTACTATATTAGGGTTCATAAGGGCATGGGCGTCTCTCAACAAATTCGGTGGAGATGAACAATTCTTAGCTAAAGAGTTAATTCCATTTTATGATAGGTCCGTAATCAAAGACCCTCATGGACAAGGGATGTCTATATGGGATGAAACGAAGAAAAATAAGCTTGAGATGTGTGACATTTGTGACTCCTCCTGATAAGGTTCGAGGTACATTTATTATAACACGGGATGTCATCGGGAAGCTCAAGAATTTAATGTTGTCAAGACGACCAAACCTAACTCATGTAACATCTTTCACAGTAATGTGTGCTTATGTATGGACTTGCTTGATAAAATCAGAGGACTCGATCAGAGAAGAGATAGAAGAAAATGTGACAGAGTTCTTCGGATGTGTAGCAGATTGCAGATCGCGTCTCAATCCACCACTTCCTCAATCTTATTTCGGGAATTGCCTAGTGACGCTCATTGCAAGAGCAAGTCATGTTGAATTAGTAGGAAAAGAAGGCTTTAGAATTGGAGAAACCATTCAGAAAAGGATGAAGGATGAAGATTATATCCTTACTGGGGAGTGGTTCAAGGAATTTTGCTCCGAAGACATGAAACGGTCGCTTACTATTGCTGGATCACCAAAGCTTGACTTATATGCTGTTGATTTTGGCTGGGGAAAGCCAGAAAAGTTAGAGTTTGTTTCTATTGACAATGGTGATGGCATATCAATGTCCCTCAGCAAGTCCAAGGACTCTAATGGAGATTTAGAGATTGGTTTGTCTTTGCCCAAAACTCGAATGAATGCTTTTGCTGCTATGTTCACTCACGGGCTTAGCTTTCTATAGGAAGCCTGGTTAACATTATACTTTTACCACAAAACAGCGTTGCCGTTTTAAGTGTTCTATTGGATTTGATTAGAGATGAAACACTTCAAATTGTAGCTACAATAATGGGATACTTGCTAGTATTAGTGAAGATCAGAATCCTTATCTTTATCAAAATAGTGTAGTGTTGTATCTAAATTGATGTTATCCAAATGATAAATTGTTACACATAATCTTGATGCATAATAAGAAATTACTGAATGTTGAATATGTTCTTGTCCTCGTATCTTTTATTAATTGATTCTTTTCATTTGATGCCAAAAGTACGAATTTACCAAGCTTGATTTACCATTTAGTTTATGTGGATTTTGAAACTACCGGCAATACCTAACAGGTATTACCTCCAAAATCCATAACTTTGTCACTAAGATAGTTCATTAAGTCCATTATATCTTTAAATCGTCTCGTTAGAATTTTTGTACTTATTTGTAATTCGATTGGACTTAAATTTGTTGCACTTATGATTATACTCTTATTTTATATTCTAGTATCATGTATGTCTTACTTTTAAAAACAAGCAAATGCAATGGCCAAACATAAATTGGTCTTCTAAATTTATCTTCTTATCTTGGTGTCTGAGCATTTAAACGATCTACCATGGCTTTCCCTCTTCTTCATCTGCTCAAACAATTCCAACTAAATCTACTTTTGGCGTTCCATATCCTCCTCCAACTGTCACAAACATCAAGAGGTTTGTACCTATTGAATTCACTTATCCAACCGAAGGGAAGGCAAAATTGTCTCAGTGTGACCTATAGGTTACAAGTTCGAATCGTGGAATCAGCCTGTGATACACTTAGGGTAGACTGCCTACATCACACCTCTTGGGGTGCGGCCCTTTCCCGGACCCTATGAGAACGTGGGGATATTTTGTGAATGGGGATGCTTCGTGGTGGGTAGTTCGTGGAAGCAAAGTCACTATGCCACTTACAGTATCCCGTTGCGTAATTAAGTTGTTTGCAAAGAATTCTGCCCGGCACTCGATGTAATGAGATGATTTGAATATTTTTTTGTTTGGACGGGTAGTTAAAATAAGCTCAAGCTTTTTAAAAAAAAACCATATCCAACGCAGAGGCGGATTCAGAATTTAAACTTTATGGGTTCAACTTTTCAGAGTTTAACATTGAAGCAATTATATTTTTAAAGTTATGAGTTCGTATCTACTATTTTCATAATTTTAACGAATTTTTATACATAAATACTTACTCCGTCTCGAAACTTATGAGTTAGTCGACATACTACATCCACCCCTGAATTCCAACGGTATATGTATAATCAAAGTTGGGCAGCAAAAGCTACAAAGCAATGAGCACTTATTCTTCAAACTTCCTACGTTTGCTCTCTTACACAAAGCTCTTAACATCCCACGTTAATCAAGCCCGACATGAACAAGCTCTTTCTCTTTTCTACCAAATTCACTCTACACTCTCCCTTTCGCTCGACCCCTTCGTATTTCCTCTTGCTCTTAAGTCATGCGCTGCCCTTAACTTCTCTCAGCTCGGCACCACCATTCACGCTCACACATACAAAGCATCGTTTACCTCCAACCCCTTTGTTGTTTGCGCTTTAGTCGACATGTATGGTAAGTGTGTCTCACTTGTGTCCGCACGCCAACTGTTCGATGAATCTCCTGACAGAAATGTTGTCGTTTGGAACTCGATGATTTCGCTTCACGCACATTCTAATGATGTTGACAGTGCGTTAGAACTGATTCGAGTGATGGACGTGGAGCCTAATTCTTCCACGTTTAACGCGATTATTGCAGCGTTGGCGGAAACAGAGGATGGGTTTTCTAAGGCCATTTTGTGTTATAGAAAAATGGAAAGAATGGGTCTGAGACCGAATTTGATTACGGTTCTTGCATTGTTACGTGCTTGTCTTGGTATATCAGATGTGAATTTAATCAAACAGATTCATGGGTATTCAGTACGGAATGACATTGATCCAGACCCCCAATTGAGGAGCGGATTAATCGAGGCTTATGGGCGTTGTGGATGTCTTGACAAAGCCCATCATGTGTTTGTTAGTATGAGGAACAGGGATGTGGTTGCTTGGAGTAGTTTGATCTCAGCGTACGCGCTTCAGGGGCAAGCAAGAACAGCACTTGAAGTTTTTAAGGAAATGGAAATGGCCAATGTAAGGCCCGATGGGATAACTTTCCTTGGGGTATTGAAAGCTTGTAGTCATGCTGGATTAGCTGATGAAGCACAAATGTACTTTGCTCGTATGAGAGATCGATATGGTGTCGAAGCAAGCAGTGATCACTATGCTTGTTTGGTAGATGTATTGAGTAGGGCGGGAAGATTGCATCAGGCGTATGATGTTATTAGGCGAATGCCAGTGAAGGTGACTGCTAAAGCTTGGGGTGCACTTCTTGCTTCTTGTCGAACTTATGGAGAAGTCGAGCTGGCAGAAATAGCTGGAAGAGCTTTGTTTGAAGTAGAGCCTGAGAATCCTGCTAATTTTGTGATATTGGCAAGAATTTATGCTAGCAATGGGCGATTTGAGGAAGCAGAAGGACTCAGAAGAGAGATGATCAAGAGGGGCATGAAAGCAGCTCCTGGTAGCAGTTGGGTTGTTCATCAAGATTGACTTTTCAGTTGTTTTTTTGGGTGGTGGGGATGAGGGTTTCGGCAGAGGCGGATGCAACGTTTTGGCACCGGGTTCATTTGAACCCAGTACTTTCGACACAGAGCATAAATTTGTGTAAAAATTTATCAAAATTGAAAACAAATAGTAGATATTAACCCATAATTTTAAAAATAAGATGGGTTTAATATTAAGTGAATCCGTATAATTTAAATCCTGAACCTGCCTCTAGTTTTTGGAGGTAGAAGAAAAAGTGAACATTGTAGCCAAGAGCTCTTCCCCAATTAGAAAGGCAACTGGTGAGTGTACTAACAATTTTGATGTAATTTGTACAACAGTTTGAAATATGAATTTGGAAAATTCATCAAAGAAGCTGCTCTTTGTTCTGTGCTTTGCCTTTTGCGGAAAGCTGGTCTAAGTCTGATGACATTCTGCTTGATTTCCAATGCTTAATGTAATTTACAATATCCAAATGAGAGCACCACTGATGATTGCTCCATGTGATATAATATCCAGTCGATTTTGTGTAAATTAAAGCATGTCTTATGTAATGACCGTAAAATTTGTGTGTGACCATCTTGTCTAAAAGTTTAATCTATTAGAGAGAACACACATTTATTTATTAATTTTGTCTTCAACACGTCCCTCACGTGCATGCTTGATTCTTTTTGATGAGCCAAGCACGTGAAAATTATTTTTGATATTGGGTGGCGGTGAGATTCGAACTCAGGACCTCTGTCTGCTCTAATACTATGTTGATGTGTGTGACTATCTCTAAGCTTTCAGATGAAATTGTCACACACTTCAACAATGACATCCTTTTACGAGAAGTAAAAAAGTCCAAATTTAATTCTATTGTGAGGTATAACAAAACATTTTCTTTTTGGAACGGTTCTCAATTCTATTGTGAGGTATAATAAAACACACTTCAACACCGCTTATTGTTACAATAATATATTTATTTATTCACTTCTTCTAATATTAACACTGCGTACAAAAATTATACGCCACTGCATCTTTGGTGCCTTTAACACACTCCATTTTCAAGGATGAATTTTTACACACCAAAACTTAATGTAATCCAAAACGTATCATTTACACACGTATTTGGCGTCTGACTTCCAGCAATTTTATATCATGCACTAATAATGTTGTAACACGTATCATTAACTTAAAAATTAGGTACTTAAAATTATTATACCATAAGTGATAAATTTATATTTTCAGTGATGGCAGCATTTGGTACATCGCTATGTTAAACAATTTTTTTTACAATGAATACTGTGGAATGAAAAATTAAAGAATAAATCAAACATTAAAAGAAAATTTCCGACCTACCGGATTCAAACCAGTGACCTAAGGATTAGCTGTTTGATCAAACTACAGTCCTCCGCTCTACCAACTGAGCTAAGGTCGGATTTACTTACGAAATGTTCCGAAATTTCAGTATTTAAGAAACAAAGACGTGATTCTTGTTCCCAATAATTTATTATACTATACAAGATAAAGAGAACCAAAAGAAATTGATACGCATGTACTACTTTCAATTTTTAAATGTTGCATGAATGGAAACTCAAACTTTTCTAGATTATAGAGTATTTCTCTCCTTACTCTTTCATGTGGAAGATTTATTCTTTTTTAATTTTTTTGCCTCATCATTTCTATTCTATATCATCTGGTTTATTAACGTACAAGGGATATTACCTTTAAAATCCATAAAGAAAGCAATATAATCTTCTAAAAGTTTTCTCGGACAAAGAATAATTCACAGACGATACTGTAAGATTATACGAAAATCAAATTTTGATCTAAAATCAAGTGAATTAATTTTTTTCCGGCAAAAAAGAAAGTTTTACATCCTTGTATTGCTCCCTTGAGCATTAGAAATTCAAAGCTTTAATTATCTGAAATTGGATTTAGGATAAAGTTTATGTAGACGAGAGTATGCGCTCATGTATACATCCGAAAAGGTTTTAGATACAAAATTAATTATATCTTCACTTATATAGCAAGAAATATTCTAAATTGCCAAAGGTGACACGTAGTCTGGTCCTTTGATTACATAATATTTACTCTGATTTTGTTTTTGCATTAGGAGGAAAGAAAAAACAAACAAACAAAAGTGTAAGAATGTTCGAGGGCGCGTTGTTCCTCTAGGCAGGTGTCACACCTCCTTTCTACCACCCGAAGGTAATATAAGGGAGTTTTTCCAATTAAAGTGACATTATTCGAAATGAGATTATTTTATTTATTTTTCATAGTCGCCACTTGAAATAATTTAGAGTGCCCCAAGTCACCGATTTATTTTAAAGTTCCAAATCGAGGAAATTTCGACTTTACTTTATAAGTCTGCGAACTAGAAATTCTAGATAAGGAATTCTGTTAACCCGGGAGAAGGTGTTAGGCATTCCCGGGTTCCGTGGTTCTAGCACGGTCGCTTAACCTATTAATAATTGGCATATTATCTGATTTATTACACGTTTTAAACCCACTGTGCATTTTTAACTTTATAACCGCTTTTAATTAATTTATGGAATTATTCTGGAACAAGTTACGATTGTCATACACTTGTTTGTTTGATACACATTGCGAATCATGTCACAAGAACCGTACCCACAATCTACAACACGTTTAATTTATTAAAGTTATTAGAAGTTTTGATCGGGTCACATAAATGTACCTCCGAATTTGGAAATTAGGTATCACAACTCTATCACGGGAACCGTACCCGTAGCTATAATAATTTTATTGTAACGCACCTAAAGCAAGCTGCAATTGTTTAAAAAGATGTTTTACTATACTAAATTAATACTTAGTGTGATGGCCATAAGTTATGGGTTTTATTGATGGCACTCCTCGATTTATTTTTTAAAAATTTGCACCTAATTAAAGCAAGCTACGGATGTTCATATTTGAAACTAATTTAAAATTAGGTATTATAACTACACCACGGAAACCGTACTCGAAGTTGTGATGATTTATTTAATGACGCCTAAAGCAAGCTACAATATTCATGAATTATTCTTTCTAAGACTACTTTGAGATTATTATGAGGCCATTGGTTATGGAAATTATTATGGAAAAATAAATTAGCTATAGGGAAGTGTTTGATATCTTGGATTAATTTCTATCTAAACCCATATACACTTTAAAAGGGGTCAATTCCTACGAAATCCAAACAGAATCTTCAACATTCCAAAACCAAATAATCGTGAGATGCAACAAAGGTTTAACTGACAATTTTATTAAGTCAAACTAAAACAAAATAATGTGAAGCTCAAAGATACAGAGATAAACTAAAACATCATGAAATTTGCTCCTGTTTTGTGTTTTTTTTTTAAAAAAATAATTATTTCATTGCCTAATAGTTTCCGCTGTATAAAAAAAATGAATCTTTACATTCAACGTATTCTCATTCATTACTAACAAATTAACGTAAATAAGAGTATCAACAATTCACATGGCCAAGCATTAATTTGATTAATTTCAGAAGAGGAATTTCAATTATAAAACCCATAAACACATGTATCCACCCTAATTACATGAATAATTATTTATAGCGGCCGAGAATTTAGACATGAGAAAAATTTCAGCTACACAGCCAAAACAAATTCAGAATAATTCTTTGACTAGGCTTCAAGGCATTCTTAGCAATCACTAATATCCAACTTAAATCTTCAAATTTAAGCACTTAAACCGAACAAATCAGATGGAAAGGAATCTAGTAGCCAACCATAACGAACCCACAAAAATCAAACATAGATTCAGCAAACAGTTCGAGTCTTCATTCATACAATTAAGGAAGGATTACAAAGTGAGCATTCACATACCTAGCGGCAAGTGAAACAAATTCAAAAATCGAATAACAACCAGAATACTCCGACAATGGAGCTCAGCCGCGACAGACTAGAAATCAGCAGTTGAAAGTAGACAGCCTTTCCATAACTCAAGTAGCATGAAATTCGAAATTTAACAGGAATGTCGATTACGAACGGAGACGGCGAACAACCACCGGAGACGCGAACGACATCATAAATCTCGAATCAAACTTGACCTCAATTAAACTCCATCCCTAACATCCAAAAATCTAACGAAAGGAATACCAATTTCATTTTTTGGTTTCTGAAGCTAAAGGAAAAAATCTAGGAGAACTTGACCCCCCCTTTTTTATATATCAAAAACTAAAATCAGAAATTAGAAGGTGACAAATCCAAAAACCAAAACCCAGTTCTCCCTAAAATTTTGTCCTTTAAACCTCTCCCTGTTCGTGTAAACTTCCTTTGGAGAAAAAAAAAGTCGCGGCTGATGTTTTTCCATAGTTATCGGCGAAATTTTTTTGTTCTTTTTCGTTGATGCTCTCTTTAGCTCCTTGAGATCCGCCGCCCTTTTGTATTCTCTAAGGAGTGGGTTTTTCTATATTCTGTCTAGGTTTAGAATGTTAGGTCTAGGTCTTTTTTAAAGTGGGAGGGGGGGAGGGGGTCCGGTTGGGTAGGCTAATTATTTGGGCTGAATTTTTAGACTGATTTTGTATTAAATTGGCCCAATTTCAAAATAAAAAACTCCCTTGTTCAATTCCCCTTTCTGATTTCCTTTTTCTTTGTTTTTCTCTTTTCTTTTTCTTTAACTAAAATTCCTAAATTAATCTAAATTGTAAAATTAAGCATAATTATCTAATTATAAAATTTTTAACAATTACTTGATCCTACTTAAAAGGGAAAAATGATTAATCTAAAAATTAAACGGTAAAAATGTAAAAATAAATCATTTTTGTGATTTTTATTTTTTAATAAAGCAATTAATTAACTAATTAATCCTAAATATAAAAGAAAAATCTAAGTGCAATGCATGATATTTTGACATTTTTATGATTTTTAACAAAAATTAAACTTGCACAAAATGCAAACAATTAATAAAATCCTACAAAAATCCTATAAAATGGCAAATAATAGGAAAAAAATCTATTTTCTTTGATTTTATAGGAGTATTTCATATAGGGAAAAAATCACGTGCTCACAGCTGCTCCTCTTTGCTCAGAAACATGAAGAGTTTTCGGGCAAAGATAAAGTGAGCAATTACGAGCAATTTTTATCCATTTGAGACTCCATTTGGAAGCATTTTGAAAAAGTTTGACCGAACCTTGCTTCGGAGGTTGCCTACATATCCTTGACTATAAAAGAATCAGGTAGGTGTAGTTCTGGAAGTTTTAGTAGCTGGGACTACCGAGAAACTGTGATTTCACTGCTGTTTCTGCTTGGTGAGCACCTTATTACAATAAAAATGAAAAGCTAAACTAACTAAGCCTATCAACTACGAGTTACAAGATTCCTATCTATAAACCTTCTAAAGCTCGATCTTCAGTCTTGGATGGTTCTTCCTGCAGAC